CTCCCGTGTCCATGTCATGTCATTTACAGACTCTGTACCAAATAGTGAGTGCATATACTAACCTCTGACAAATGAGTTGTAGCGCAATGTCGGCACACCCGTGATGTTTGACACTGTACTTGAAAGACTCATTTTAAAGGAAGACGCCTGCGACGTTTGTCTCACAATGTTCACCCATACTGTGCCACATGGCCTAAGGGTGGTGGAGATCTGACACCATGCCTCCCCTATAGTACATTTTGAGGCATTCCTAATTTTTTTGAAGTAGACGTAATTTTGGTAAGCAACCTACTTGTAGGCTCTTGTCGGACTTAATCCTATTCTCAGAATCTTAGGCTATGTACTCGGAGCTGTCTCTAACAAAATCTACTGCGGTCTCAAGAGGAGACCCTATGGATTCTCATTGACTTGGATTTTTCATACCTATCTACCTACTGAGCTCAAAATCAGAGAATTTTCCGTAGTGGTGCCTGACATCAACTACCTGTTCTTGAGATTCAGTAACTACCTACCACTACGCTTCGGGCTGGGTTAGTAATCTACTTGTCTTACACCCTTATCGGGTTTAAATCAGTAAAGGTCATGACTCTCTCCACTAGGCACCCTGACGTGGTACAACAGTAGTATACTCACTATGGCCACCCATATCCACTATAGGGGACATCTAAAAGTCATAATTCATAATCTATGAAATTCATAATTCACGTTATTTAGCACACGGCAAATTTTCCAACTCACAAATGGGCAATAATGGGTTATCCAAACCGCAAATTAATGCAGAACAAAGTATCAAGGCACACCTCATACTCATCATGCAAATCAAGAAATAACAATCTACCTCAACATGAACAAAGTATCAAGGCACACCTCATACTCATCATGCAAATCAAGAAATAACAATCTACCTCAACATCCTAGGAAGCACATAAACCCAAACGCCTATTAGAGAATTTCACATTTATGCATGTGGAAGCTATATAACCCTAACTATAATCAAGCCAAACGCCTATTAGAGAATTTCACATTTATGCATGTGGAAGCTATATAACCCTAACTATAATCAAGATATAATCATACACATTATCGAAGCACAACACACATGAAACTAACGTTAACCACTCCTATGTATGATACTAGATCATTGCCCATACTCCAAACCGACACCTACAAGCATTTCTTAGAAACTTGCTCCATATGATACTAGATCATTGCCCATACTCCAAACCGACACCTACAAGCATTTCTTAGAAACTTGCTCCATGCGGTTACTTACTTGTTGTATACTTCCCGAATTTGTTTCGGGTCTTCAAGAATTTTCAGTTCTTTTAAAATTCTCAATTAGGTCCTACATTAATAAAAGATATCACAACCATAAAAATTTGGGTAGAAATCAAGTAATTCTCAATTAGGTCCTACATTAATAAAAGATATCACAACCATAAAAATTTGGGTAGAAATCAAGTCAAAATGGTGTAATTTGTGAAAATTGGGTCTTTGGATCTTGGGTCATACTTACCTTTGGATCGGGTTTGGGTAGTGGGTCGGAGTCAGCTAAATGGGTCGTGGTGTGCCAGTTTTGGCTTTTGGGTCACGGGTTTGGGTAGTGGGTCGGAGTCAGCTAAATGGGTCGTGGTGTGCCAGTTTTGGCTTTTGGGTCACTAGGCAGGTAGAGTCGGTCGACGGGACGGTGCGGGTTGGTAGGTCTGTTCGGTCCAACAGTTGGTCAATCCAGCGGGTCAGCTCCTTCCTCCTTGCGACTCTCCTCCTCTTCGGCTTCTTCGTCACTTGTCAACATTTCTTCTTCCCTCTTCTTCGTCCCTTGGCCGTCCGACTTTGTTTACGAAGAACGGTCGTTCGTTACAAACTTATGATCTAGCGTTTCTCCTCGACGTGCATCGTGGTGGCAATGGTGGATTCTTAACGTTGCAAGCTCATTCATCTAGCGTTTCTCCTCGACGTGCATCGTGGTGGCAATGGTGGATTCTTAACGTTGCAAGCTCATTCGTTGATATTTTCTCCTGTGGCGTTGTCTTAACTCCAATAAAACACTTGACGTTTACCTCCCTTCCTTCAAACCCCCTCTCCCTGATTTAAACATCTTGGCCTCTCACCCACCGAAATTAAGAGGAAATTGGGGAAGGTGGCATACATACCCTCTTTATGCCAGCCTCCTTTTTGGCCTTTTCATATTCCTTTGTCGTTATATTGTCGTTATAAGGAATCACTAGAAGGGAAGTAAGATTTGAATTACCTTGTTAATCGAATATCTCAAGGCAAGAACATTGTTTGAGATTCGAATCACTCTACAAGCAAGATCGATCATATCTAGCTTGAATGATTCTTGTTGATCAAATATCTCAAAGCAAGAACACTTGCTTGAGATTCGAATCACTCCACAAGCAAGATTGATCATGTCAAATATCTCAAGACAAGAACACTTGCTTGAGATTCGAATCACTCCACAAGCAAGATTGATCATGTCAAATATCTCAAGACAAGAACACTAGAGCCATTCGAATCACTTCTTTTACTATATTTTCTAAGTTTTCCTACAAATACAACATATATGGCTTTATATAGCCTCAAAATGAAACTACTAGAGTCATTTGTAACATTCATACTTAATGACCATAATTAATCATTATGTAATTAGTAAATTAAAAGTCTTAAAACACATTCATGAAATACAATAAATCTAAATTACTCTAAATGATAATCGACCCAAAATTTATAACATGTTCATTCTTGTTCAATGTGGCATGAATTAAAATATCTTTTGATAATTTCAACAATATTTTCTTCACATCTTCATTGAAGCATATTGTATGATTGATGTCTCTTGATTCATATCATTCTCCACTTCTTCAAGAGGATTCGTCCTCAAATCTATTTGTGAAACTTCACTGCTAAAAAATAAGATATGGAAATGCAAAGGACCTCACAACAATCTCTCACATGCATACACTCAAGGATTTTTTTAAGCCACTCTATTTGCACTCACCTCTAAATTTTTGTAGAGCCCAGATTGGATTTTTTATTTTGGGTCGATTAAAAACTAAAAAGATAAAAATAAATAAAAATCAAATTGAAAAGAAACGCAAAGGAAACATATATCCGATATTGAGCCTAAAGCTCTGATACCAAATGATAAGATAAAGAATCACTACAAGTGGAGTAAGATTCGGATGACCTTGTTGATCGAATATCTCAAGGCAAGAACATTGTTTGAGATTCGAATCACTCCACAAGCAAGATCGATCATGTCTAGCTTGAATGATTCTTGTTGATCAAATATCTCAAACACTTGTTTGAGATTCGAATCACTCCACAAGCAAGATTGATCATGTCGAGCTTGAATGATTCTACATGCAACCTAAACTACATAGAATTGCAAATAAACTTAGTCATTGGCTAAAGAAAGCACACATGCTTCTTTTACTATATATTTTCCAAGTCTACTTACACATACAATATAGATGGCTTTATATATCTTCAAAATGAAACTACTAAAGTCATTCCAAGAGTTGTTACATTCATACTTAATGGTCATAATTAACCATTATGTAATTGTAACCTAAAATAAATAAAAACTCTTAAAATACATTAATGAAATACAATAACTCTAAATTGTGATCCACCCCAAATTTATCACATGATACTTCATTCTTCTTCAATGTGGCATGAATTGAAATGATAATTTCAAAAATATTTTTTCATATCTTCATTGAAACATATTGTATGATTGATGTCCCTTGGTTCATATCATTCTCCACTTCTTCAAGAGGATTCATCCTCGAATCTATTTGTGAAACTTTGCTGCAAGAAATAAGTTATGGAAATACAAAGGACCTCACAACACTCTCTCACGAGTATATTCTCAAGGAATTTTTAGGCCACTCTTTTTACACTCGTTTACACAAATGAAGCTCTCATTCTCACCTCTCAAAATTTTAAATAGAGTAAATATTGAATTTTGAACTTTTGGTAGATTAAAAACTAAAAAGATAAAAATAAATAAAAATCAAATTGAGAAGAAACGCAGAGGAAACATATATATGATCTTTAGCCTGAAGCTCTGATACCAAATGATAAGATAAGGAACCACTACAAGGGGAGTAAGATTCGGATTACCTTGTTGATCGAATATCTCAAGGCAAGAACATTGTTTGAGATTCGAATCATTCCACAAGCAAGATCGATCATGTCTAGCTTGAATGATTCTACATGCAACCTAAATTGCAAAGAAACTTAGCCATTGTCTAAATAAGAGCACAAATGCTTCTTTTACTATATTTTCCAAGTCTTCCTACAATTATAACATACATGACTTTATATACCCTCAAAATGAAACTACTAAAGGCATTACAAGAGTTGTAACATTCATACTTTATGACAATAATTAACCATTGTAATTGTAACCTAAAGTAAATTAAAAGTCTTAAAATACATTAATGAAATACAATAAATCTAAATTACTCTAAATTGTAATCCACCCAAAATTTATAACATGAAACTTCATTCTCTTCAATGTGGCATGAATTGAAATATCTTTTGATAATTTCAACAATATTTTTTTCACATCTTCATTGAAACATATTATATGATTGATGTCTCTTGGTTCATATCAATAGGGCTTACGAAACAATCATAAAAATTAGGTTCCACAGTCATGAACCATGTGTAGAAAAATACTATGATCCAATCCTACCCCATATTCAGTCCCAGAGGTTCGTTAATAAACCCACCTAGTGAGTTCATGTGCACGGACGTGAACTATATGTAAAAGAGTATCATGAAGTTTAGGTCCCCCAGTCAAGCGTGTGTAGAGTAGTACCCTACCAAAAAAAAAAAAAAAAAAATCACATTCATGAAAATTAGGTCTCCCTCAATCATAAATCTTATAAATCTTAGACAAATACTATACATCAAACCTTATTTAAAAAAAATCCAAATAACAGTCATAAATTTTAGGTCCACAGTCATTGAAACTTTTAAAACTCTAAAAGTAATCACAGTCATAAATATTAGGTCCCATCCTGTCATTGAAACTTTTAAAACTCTAAAGTAATCACAGTGTCTGTCTACGTGGTCATAACACAGCCTCTAACCTCAACTTCTCACAACTTTGTCAACATAAACAACAAAACTCTTCCAAATCTCATATTTTCAGATCAAAAAATCGGATCGCTTCACCATCTCGGAGGAACAAATATGGACAAAGGCGACGAATTTCAACCCCTCACAATTCTGATCACAGGGGTGAGCAGAGGGTTAGGGCGAGCCTTAGCGCTATCATTGGCAAAGCGGGGCCACACTATCATTGGCTGCGCTCGTACTCCCAATGCCCTCCACTCTCTTCAAAAGGAACTCGCCGCACTCTCCCCTTCCTCTTCTCACACCCACTTACTCCAAATCACCGACGTGGTTGGTTTCCTTTTCCTTTTCATTTGTTTCCATAAACCCACGTTTTATTTCACCTTCAAAATTGGACTCTTTTTGTAGACCTCAAATGGTAGCGTTGAGGAACTATTTCAAGCTGTCTTGGAAAGAAATCTTGTTCCTGATATCCTTGGTATTCCATGTTCTTCCATTTCAAAGGGATTTTGATAGTTCATTCCCATTTTTAAGTACAAATCTATTCTTGTTTCAGTAAACAACGCCGGTGTGATCAATGAAAAGTCCAAGTTTTGGGAGATTCCTCAAGATGGGTTTGATTGTGTGATTGATACGAATGTAAAAGGGACAGCAAATGTTCTTCGGCATTTCATTCCTCTTATGATCCGAGGAGGAAAAGGAATTATCGTTAACTTCTATTCAATGTGGGGAAGAGATGGTGCTCCCATGGTAGGTACCCAAAATTTGTAGCTTTTTGACAAGTATAAAATGGGTTTAAAGCCAAGTTTATGCTTCGACATATTTTGAACAGTTTTCTCCCTATAGTGCCTCTAACTGGGCAATTGAGGGCTTGACCAAATCCATAGCTTTGGAGCTGCCTAAAGGAATGGCTATTATAGCACTTGATCCTGGTATTGTGAACACAGACATGCTTGCTATTAGCTTTGGCGATTCAGCACCTGACTACCAAAATCCTCAACAATGGTAACATCTCAGTTCTTCACAACTTCTTGTTCTTGAAAAATTATTGTGTTCTATGTGTAAGTGCATAGATGTTGATGAATGTATCAGGGTAGTAAAGGCGAGCACAATGATCCTTAGTTTTACATCGGAAAATAATGGAGCGTCTCTCACTCTTGAATGAGGTAAATTATATTATGTGTAACGACCAAAAATTTCTATTTAATTTAAGGTCGCCACTATATATATTATGAAACGTTAAATGTGGAAATACTTCATTTAAACTTTCATAAATACAACTACTCTATACATGGGTCATGGTCTCAAGTTGCGATATCGTCGTCAATTATACAAGAATGTCTTGCCTTAACCTGAAATAGAGGTAGCCGGTAGCTTGAATATTTAAAAAAAATACTCATTAAGTGATCTCACTATTAAGATTAAATGCAAGAACATGAGAATGTAATGATGGACCTATCATCATAGATTATAACATGGAATATAGTTTAAAAGATGGATGGTGATGGTAGATTGTTTTTTTCAAGTGCAGGTGGAGCTTGAGTGATGAACTTCAGTTTTGAGGAA